ATATTTTATTTATTTATTGATTGATTGATTTTATGTATATGAGTGTATTGCTTGCATGTAGGTAAGTGCACCCATGTGGTACAATGCCCATGGAGGACAAAAGAGACTGTTGGATCCCCTGGAACTGGAGTTATAGACAGTTGTTAGCTGCCATGTGGGTGCTGGGATTTGAACCTGGGTCTTCTGCAAGAACAGTCAGTGTTCTTAACCGCTGAGCTATCTCTCCAGCCCTGACCTTGAACTCTTGATCCTCCTTCCTCTACCTCCTGAGGTCAGGGATTACAGGCAGGCACCATGATGACCTGCCCAGTGTCCAGAGTCATGTGTGACAATTGTCATGTAGAAACAGTCCTTGTTCTCAGGACAGTATTGGAAAGGGTGAGCATTCAGTACCTGATAATCACTTTCAAATGGTTCTCAGGTTTTTCTATGGTGCTGGAAATTGAGCCCAGAGGCCTCATTCATGCCATGCAAGCACTTTCCCACAGTTATATAAACAGATCTGTCTGAAATCTATCTGAATATACCCAGCTGACTCTAGACAAGGAAAAAGAAAGAAAATGCAGCCAAATGTTTAAAAACAAAACAGGACCAGGGATCTGACTCAGTGGTAGAGTGTTTGCCTAGTATGCTTGAGGCCCTAGGTCCAATCCCTAGAACTGCCAAAGAAAGAAGAAACAAAACTGGCAAACCCAGATGAAGAGTACGGGGATTCAGGCTGAGAACCTAAATTTTTTACACAGGTTTTTGGGGAACTTTTTAGATAAGGCCCTAAAGGGAAAGGGCTATGCGGAAGCAGGGTGGAGTAGGAGAGGCTGTGTCAGGATCTGGAAGTAGGCAGTCTGCACTAGCAGGTGGATGAGGCCAAGGGGCTTGGAACACCCACAACTCCCTTTGCACACCCAGTAGAGCACCCAGGGTTTGAGCTGCGTGTGCTCTGTCCTAATGGTCACAGAGAGATGGATGGAGCGGAATACTGGGCCAGGAACAGGAAGTCATAGGGGTAGTGAGAGCCATACCTGAAGTTGTACCCTTTTTCCTGCAACTGGAAGGAGTATTGGGGCCAGCAGTCAGAGCCCCCGGAGTCCAGGTCGCAATCCCAGTGGATGCTGATGCCCACAGCACCACCCTGCACACAGGACATTTCTGTTCCACTGGTAGATGGGTTTAAGACCCAATCCCTGAGTCTCAGGAATTCTGCCCCCAAGGACCCACCAGCAATGCCAGGTCTTCAAAGTCCTCTCCAGCCATGGTCACAATGTCCCCAATGTAGAATACAGGGCAGTAAGGACTGGAGTATGGATTATAGCGACAGTGCTTGAAATAGGTGCTATCCCAGGTATCTAAGACATTGGTTCTAGAAAGGGTAGTGTGGGGATCAGATCCCAGGGGGCATGGAGGATTTCAGCTCAACCAAAACATGTGCATACTTACTTAGAGAAGTTGAACTTGCTGAAAGTGACAGTATTTTTGATGAAAAGCGTGAAGTTCTTGGCCTGGATCAGCAGGGGTTTCCTGAAGGTAGATGGTACACTGGCAGCATTTTGCTTATCTTAGGACCCTCCCCTGGAAGAGAGGAGGCTTACCTGGGCACAGTACCACTCTCCACTGGGCACCAGCTCCAGATCTCACAGGTCCTGTGGGTTCTGTTGAATACCACACACTGACCTGTTTTTATACCTTCCAAAACACAAAATGAAGGTATAACAGCCCTCAAATCTCCACAGGTCCTGGAAAGGGTGTGGAGTAGGGGTTTGTTGGCAGAATGGGTGATGCATTGACAGGCACAGCATGGGCTGCATTTGGGAACCACACACTGTCCCTCCCCTTCCCCTGCCCTCACAGAGGTGCTGGAGGACCAAGCCCACAGTTACCGTGGCTGTGCGTCCCTGTCTCTCCTTCAGGGCAATCCTTATCATCCCAGCAGTTAGCCAGTGGAACAGAGGGGTGCTGAAGTAGGTAAGAGACCCTAGTTACCAGCAGCACAGGGGATGCCTCCTTTCTGTGATTCAGCTTCACAGACTATAAAGACAGTCCCCTGCTCCCTGCCAACATCCTTCCCAGGGTACCCTGGGTTTGGAAGCACATAAGAAAGCTGGAGGGTGCAAATAAACTGGTAGCTTGGAGGAAAGAATCATCGGCCACCTAGGCAGATGAGAGTACAATGCTGTATTCCAAGGGCAGAGACCCCTGCTCTCCTAAACAGTTCTTTTCCTGGTTAAGACATAAGTGGTTCTTTGAGATCCAGCTTTTCTGGTCCAATTGGGACAACAGAGCAAGGGAGGTTAAGGAACCCTGGAAGGGTGAACTGATGATGCTCAGTATGCCAGCACAGAGTCAATGAAGAGCAGGACCCTAAGATCAGAGGGGCCTATGCAGTAAGGAAAGACCCCCTCACTTACTAGGGCTAGTCTCTTTTGCCAAACAGGAACATTTATATCTACACAGTACAAAAGAATCATGGGGGCCATCCAGGAGGAGAAGATGAGTGAGCTTCGGGACTCTTATGGGGAGTTCAGCTCACAGGCAGCTCCAGGAGGAACATGGCACCATGGAAGCAAGGACGGCTGAGGGACTGAAAAGCCAGAAGACTTGGGAGGACTTTTGCAAGGGATGGGATTATGATCTGGGAGTGGACAGAGAACAGAGTCCGGTCACCTCTGCTTTGCTGTTCTGACCTGTGTCCGGGTGTGTTCCTTTTCTCTACCTTAACTAAGCTGTCAACTCCTTCAACCAGACCCCATGGTGAGATGTAAGCACCTCTACCCAGCAGCCCAAGCAATCTAGTCCAGTGTATAAGAGATTGAGGGCCAGGGCAGATCTGGCTTTGGTAGGCTAAGGCTGAGATCCTAGCAGACAGCCTGAGAGGGTGGGTTCAGACCTCTTCCATTGGGGTAGCTGCTAGGAACTTGGCAGGCCGCCAGAGAGTGCCGGGTTCTGGCCTCACTCTGGCCTCCACCTACCAGAGGGCCTGAGAACCCAGGGGACAGCCCGACAGCCCCGGATCCTGCTTCCACGTGGTGGTCCTTTTAATAAGAAGATGCTATACAGCAGTCCCTTTGGCATGAAATAACTACCATCATCACGACTTCGGCTGAGCCTGATTGCTAAACATAGTCACAACTGGGCTTGCTGACGTCTATGCTCATTCATTAAAGGAGTGCCAAGCAGGGTCACTGGACCCTTACCTGAGTATCCAGCCACTCTTCCCAGCCAACTAGTCCAGCATTGGAAGACAAAAGAAAAATGAGGAAGAGCCCAATAAAGAGATGTTTTTGGGAGCCCTTGTCAAGAAACTCCAATTGACTTTCATTTGAAAATTTCCCTGTTCTGACTTTTTTCTAGTACCCTGTCTAGAACTTATAATGCTAATTACTCTTGCCTTTACTTCTCCTTCACATCCCCCATTCATGATTCAAGGACTTTCTTCTTCCCTTAGAGACAAAAGTTATGCAATTTGGGAATCTTTTAGATAGACCCACTGAAGGGGTACTTCAATTGCCTCACCCTGCGTAGGGACCTGTTCAGCATGGAAGAAGCCAGAGTGGTCTGCATCCCTATTCCCTATTGGCATTTTGGGTAACCTCTTCAGAGGATGGTGTGATAAGAATAGGAGGTAGGAATTGGCTAGGCAGTTAGATAAAAAGACCCCAGAGACACTGTAATTCATACAACCTGGGCCTTTGCTCATAAAGCCTCTTCTGCCGTGGCATCCTGCTCTAGCCAAACTGACCCTGTTCACCAGCTCCTTTAAGATTCTGTTCAGTGTCTGGTGTGGGGGTGCATGCCTTTAATCCCAGCACTCAGGAGGCAGAGGCAGGCAGATCTCTGTGAGTTCAAGGCCAGCCTGGTCTACATAGTGAGTTCCAGGCCAGGTCTCTACCCTGTCTGAAAAAGACCAAAACAACAACAACAGCAACAACAAAAGATCTGTTCAGGTCCTGAAGAGAATAAGACCGTTCCCAGTACCCACATGGCAGCTTACAACTGTCTGCAACTCCAGTTCCTGGGGATTCAATGCCCTCTCCTGGCCTCTGCAGACACCAGGCACACATGTGGTACACTTACATATACCTAAGCAAAATATACATAAAAAGAAACAAAAAAAAAATTTTTTTTGGTCTTTTTGAGACAGGGTCTCCCTGTAGCCCCAGCTGGCCTGGAACTTGCTATGTAGACCAGTAGACCAGGCTAGCCTTCAACTCACAGAGATCTGCCTACCTCTGCCTCCCGAGTGCTGGGATTAAAGATGTGTACCACCATGCCTGGCAACAAATCCTCTTCTATTAAAAAAAAGATTCTGCTCATGTACCTGGAAGCAAGTGACCAGTTTTCCAAGAAGAGCTAGCAGGAACTCTGGTTATTCTCAGCAAGCCTCATCAGAGCTGATGAATTATTGCCCAGTCATGGCAATTTTATGGGACAGTCCAAAAGCTTAGACATGGGCAAACAGGAATCATGTGGATTTCAAAAGCTAGCCAGGTGTGGTGGTGCTTGTCTTTAATCCGAGCACTTGGGAGGCAGAGGCAGGCAAATCTCTTAGAGTTCCAGGCCAGCTAGAGTTACATAGTAATACTCTGTCTCAAAAAGCAAAAAACAAGGCTGGAGAGATGGCTTAGTGGTTAAGAGCACTGGTTGCTCTTACAGAGGACCCGAGTTCTGTTCCTAGCACCCATGGCAGCTAACAACCTTCTATAACTCCAGTTCCAAGGGATCTGACACCCTCTTCTGACCTCCATGAGCACTGCATGACACAGGTACACTTACATACATGCAGGTGATACACATAAAATAAATTTTCTTTAAAAAGCAAAAAACAAAGAAAACAACCAAACAAAAAGTGGATTTATAGGCCTACACACTAAACACCAAATTGACATCTTCTAAGCACCTGGAAGTAGGGGCACCATGTGGATTTCCCAAGAGCAAATCATCCTACATGCACATGCCTCACCTTCTTGTGGATAGGGGTCAAGCATGGGCATGTTATATCCCCTGCAACTGTAGTAGGACCAACCGCCAGAGCTTGGAGATGAGCAGCTGCAGTTATCCTGAAGCCCAACGCATGACCAAATGTTGGACTTGAACATGGCATCCCAGTGTGTGTGTGTGTGTGTGTGTGTGTGTGTGTGTGTGTGTGTGTATCTCTATATCTAATCTATCCATACCTTTATCTATATGACCCTGACCATTCAAACAAAATCTTGGAAAAAGCCAGTGTGCTTTTTTGACACATGTTGGACCCCTGGGAACATTTCCAGACCAGAGGAAAAGGTGAGATTTTTGGAGGGGGGGTTCTTTTTGAAACAGTGTCTCCCTGTAGCCCCAGCTGTCCTGGAACTCACTATGTAGATGGGGCTGGCCTTGAACTCACAGAGATCCTCCTGCCTCTGCCTCCCGAGTGCTGGGATTAAAGGTGTGGGCCACCACACCCAGCGAAAGGTGAGATTTTAAGGGGGAATTCTGCACTTCTGAAATGGATAAGAACAGGGAAGAAACTCAGACATGAACACAGTTGGGATGAAAAGCATCCAGAAATCACAACCTGAAAGCAAAAGCCAAAGAGTGCTAGTCCTCCCTCTACCCCACCCCCCACAAAGTAAACCTGCTTGGGACTCATTAATAAGAGCTGGCACTGGACATGGTGCATGCCTTTAATCCTAGCACTGGGGAGGTAGAGGCAGGCAGATCTCTGTGACATCAAGGCCAGCCTGGTCTACATAGGGAGTTCTAGGCCAACTGGGGCTACAGGGGGACTGTGTCTCAAAAACAACAAAACCAAAAAGTAATTTAAAAATAATAAAAGCTGGCACAGACAAGGAGAGGTGATCTTCCAGTTTGCTATTAAGACCCACCTGAGCATGTGCCTGGGTGTTACTCGAAGGCAAGATCAGGATAGAGAAGAGACTGGACATTTCAATTAAATAGCCCCTACCTAGAGGGCTGGGTGCTGTCACTCATAGGTGGGGCAGGCAAGTAAGTGATTGAATCTTGATAAGTCTCAGTCATCTGGTAGAATCACAGTAATGGTAGTGTATGTGAAGGGCAGACATAAAAACTCAATGAAATGATTTCTAGAAAGATTTAACTCATTGCCTGGGATGTACTGATCTCAGACTGAGCCTTTAGCTATGTATGAAGGGGAAAGGAGATAGGACTGGTGACTCAAGGCTGGTGAAGGAAATATGGATGCAGGGAAGGCTCTGGACAATCTTACCTCTGGGCATCTTCCCTGAACTTGAACTGGAGTCATGAGGAAATTGGTCACCAGGAAGAACACATTCTCGCCCTAGAAGGTAAGTCTTAAGGTTGGCTTTGGCTTGGCTCCATGTAGAGACTAGAAGCTGATGGTCTGTTTCGTTGGCTGTTTGTTGCATTCAGAAATAGAACCCAGGGTCTCATGTGTGCTAGGCCAGTGCTCTGCCTCTGACTTATGCTCAGCCTGGATGGCCAGGTTTTTGAGGTAATAGTTCTAGGCCCCCTGTAGTTACCAATTTTGCCCTCCAGAAAGATGCCTCCAGTGAAGCAAGTGGATGTAGTACCAGGAAGCTGGCAAAGTTTCTAGCCTTTTCTGAGCCCAGGAGCCCCATGCCTTTGTCCATCTCTTTGACACAGGTTTGTTTCTTAATCTCATGCACTCAATTTGAGCTTTTCAAGAACCTTCTGCATGGGGGGAGGAGAAGAAGAGGTATGACCCTGATCACAAGTATAGCAGCACTCATGCAGCAGGGGCTGGGGGAGTCAAAGAAAATAAAAAACATTTGGAAGTATCTTTCATGAGATCACTGTGCATTTGGGAAAAGGGAGATGGTAGCTGGGGAGAGGGTGGTAAGGTGTGGTAGCAGTTAGAATCGGAGGGACACAGTTGTCACCAATGTGGAAGAGGAGCCTTTGGAGGGCAGAGAGCAGGGAAAGCAGGCTCCTATGATAAATACAGAAGCTCAGCCTGACTTGTGTGGTGTGTACCTGCTGGGAAGGGGTAAGGAAAAGGAGACTCAAAGAGTCTACAGGGAGACCATAGTCTCATCCACACATGCCAGGGGTTGCAAGGGAAGTGTGTTGGGCTGGGCATGGTGGCATAGACCTGTAATCGCAGCTACTCAGGAGACGGAGAGAAGAGAATTGTTGTGAGTTTGAGGCTAATCAGGGCTGCATAACAAAAATCAAACAAACAAAACCATGTGTGGTGGCATGGGCCTGTAATCCTAGCACCTGGGAAACGGGGGTGGGGTGGGGAGGCAGGAAGATCAAGAAAGAGTTCAAGTCATTCTTAAGTACATAATGAGTTTGAAGC